GGGGGGGGGGGGGGGGGGGGAAAAAGATTGGTATCTCAATTAGCATTTTGAAAAGTTAATTAAACTTCATATCTACAAATTAGTAAAGCTATAGCTTGCCATTTCATTATGTTTTAATGAAAGTTTCTTTCAGATTGACTTCATGAAATATTATTTCATAGTGAACTGGTTAATGCTTGTTGTTATCGATACATATAACAACATAGTAGCTGCAGATTGCAATAGCATCTATAATAATAATGGAATTTCATTCCAGGATATAGGTACCGACTCCATGGGTGCTCTGGGGGTCAAGCACCCCCTGAAAAAAAAATAATGGGTACTCAGCACCCACAGAACTATGCTTGCAAATAAAAAAAGCCACCCCATGCTTTACCAGAAGAAACAGTGTATTACTTCAAAAAATTAAATAAAGAGCCTTTTTTTGAGGGGGCAGGTGGAGGGGGGGGGTTACATCTGCAAGCACCCACTGGCAAAAAGCAAAGTTGGTGCTTATGATCCTGGATGTATATGCATTATTCTCTCTTTTTTTTTAAAAAAAAAGTTCCACATAAAAAGATTCAGACCTTTTAAGATTAAAAAAAAAAAAAGATGAGGGAAAACACAACTCTTAATTCTGCTGTCCTTTCTTTAAAAGGCTCTAGCATTCTGATACTTTGAAGGAGGGTCCTGACATCTCAGGTGACCTTTGCGTTCATTGTACAAGGATGTACACATCACTTCTGAGTGTTTAACTTTGTCCTTTAAATGTTATATTAAAAACCTGCTGTATGTATATGACAATGCTTTATACGAGCAAAATATTAATTAAATAATTCATTATTATAAAGGCAATTAAAAATATTTACCACAAGCACTTTTTGCAACTTAAAAGGTTTCATTTACATACTTGACAGAGTATTTTAAAAATAGTATTTGTGTATTTATTTCAATGATCAACTTCTTCACATCACCATCCCCAAGGATCCATTTAGTTCTGCAATGAATCCCCATGGAGTCATTATCATGAAAGGTGGAAGGTGCAGGTGCAACTACCCAAACAACTCTGCTCCTTTGAGACAATGACTGTTTTTACTGGCAAGGTTCCCCCTAGAACTGACTTTGCAGTAATTTTAAATTTAAAAAACTGCATTTTACATCTTTAAAAATAGAAGAATTCTAACAGTACACATGAAATCAAAACACTTCTGAAATTTCCAAATTCTATTACAGAAGATTTTTCTACAGAAGCCATTTTAAGAGGCCTGTCTTTGTTTATTTTACCATGATTGCCCTTAGAGGTATCAATTCATTTCGCCCTTGGGGACAGACAAAGGTCTCCGAGCCAATCTGGGAGCCCAACTGGGCTGCCAGAGCCAGTGCTCAGGACTGACCTAAGGGTGCACAGCATGCACCCTGTGCCAGGTACCTAAATCACGTGCAGCACAGGTAAGGTCAAATCAAAGACCGATAGGCCAGAACATGCAGTTCCATGGGCTAGATCTGGCCCACAGGTCATATGTTTGACACCCTGATTTACATTAAGATTTTTAAATCTAAAATCTAACAGTTGAGAACAATAATATTTAATTCCTCACCTGATGACAATGTTGAACGATGCGTTAGTGTTCCAGCTTTAGCTCTCCCACTCCTTTCAAATGATGTAATACAAGCAGAATCAGAAGATTCACCGGAAGAAGTGTGAGCACAGTTGCTAGCATTTATTTTATGGCTTACAATACAGGTCTCTCTGCTTGAGGTAGGTTGAGTAGAAGAATCTTCCTGTTCAGATTCAATTTTTGCCTGAGATTTTAATGGTTTCTGCTTCAAATTTCTAGCCAAACAGTGGGAATAAAACAATATACAAATGTAAACATACAAAAAAGATTAAGAACAAGTTAAAACAAAAATCTCATTTTTCACATTGCTGTAATAGCAGCTTTTAATTTGTGTTATAGCATAGAATCCTCATCAGTTGCAACAGTACCACCTATATGAATTAAAACCCTCATACATCAGAGTCTTCCAGACAAAGATAATAGGTATAATGGGTAGAAGGACCAGCAAGGTAGCACCTTAGAGCAAGGTAATTGGCCATGTTACTCTCTACTTGGGTATAACTTGGGGGTGAGATCTTGCTGTATCAAATAAGTAATGGCACCATAAAAACAAATATGCAAGAGATACAGCTCAGTATCAATGCTGCAGCACTGTAATATCTTCTAAGCATGGAAATCCAAGAGAAAGAACAGCCACGTTAAACAAGTAATCCAAGTATCCCTAGAATCCTGACAAGAATCTGCTTGCTCAGAGAAGAAAGCACCTAACTTCAGGATTAAATTGTAATTTGGTTCCTTCAGTGTACAGGCTCTCCCAGAAGTCTTTTCTAGATATTTATCCGGTATCATCTTGGTAAGGGTTAACATGTACTTGCTCTGATCAAAAGGTGCCCTGTAATTTCCTGACCCATATTACAAGCATTCTTTGCGCTCTGCTGAAGTGGGGAAATGAGTCCCCATTTATCTCATGAAATCCTATTCTTGGTTGGGTGCAGGTGTCTGACCTGTAAATAAGTCTCTCAACTCCTCTATACGTAGGAGGAAACCAGCTAAAATACTGCCTGCCTTTGATGCATGTTCATTTCATGCTGCCACCTGTTCCATTTGATAGAAGAGGGGCAAATTGAAAACAAAGGATATAAGGGTTTTGGGAGGTTTTTTTGGTTTTGTTTGTTGGGTTTTTGTCTTTGTTAAGTCAGAGCACCTGCCACTTGCCAGACAAACTCTAGCAGTAAGAGATGAGAACAGCTCCCTATTCATGAGATAAGGAAATATGGTCTTTCTTTACCAATATATCGATTGCTTCTGCTGCCACAGGAAGTACTGTTGGGTAGCAACAGAAAAGGGAATTTTCAAACAAACAGTTGTGCCTTTTACAGACTTCTTCCCCCATCACCACACAAAGTTTGGAAGAACACCAGGAGTAAATCACGTTGCACTATATGAATGTCAAGACATTTTTTGGCATTCTTGGCTAAATCCTACTATATGCTACCAACTGTATGCTCTGAGATAGAATAACTGGCTTCCAATTATATAGACGTGGTTAACGTGTTTTACCCATTACATAACCACGCAATTTTTATCAGATTATAAAAGGTGTAATTAAATTTTCAGTTAAGTATATTTATTTCAGTTAGCTTAATTTTTTAGTTTTCTGGCTAAACTGATGCATTTAAAACAACAGGTCAACTTTTTATTCATTCTCACACAGTATAAAAACTATGAAACAAAAGGGAATATTTCTCGTAAGTGTTCACTGATTTGAGACACATTATATTGAAAATATTTTCAATGTAGTTACCCATTTAATAAAATTAACTACATTGAGATCATGCTTTCATCTGCAAAACTGAACATAAACAAGCATGTGATATTTTGACAACCACGGTAAATGCCAAATCCATGCACTTTATAGTCTATTTACCTGAATGTTTTGCTAGGATGCTGTACAGGAATATTCTGCAACCGTTTCTTGTATCTCTGGCTTCTTCTTACTCTTTCATTGTGTTTTTGACCAGTTTTGAAATCAGAGATGATTCTTCTAATTTTTTCCTCAAACAGTGCTGACAGTCTCAAAGTCATGCTATAAATCTAAAAGACAGTTTTGAATTACAAAATCTCTTAACAGTAACTTGAGCATTCTCTCAAGCATTCAAGAATCTACTGCAAAGAACTTCTATAGAAAGACTGATAGCAACTCAAACATAAGATCATTCTTAACAATTTTGCCCTCCCCCACGGTGATAGTAAAAAAAAAAAAATCACTGATATACAACCAAACTCAAAATGAAGTCTATGCCATTCTGACCAATATGAAGTTGACTGTATAAAAAGTTACCTTTGATTTTTTGTTTGGAGTGTAAGATTTTGCATTGCTAAATATCAGTCTTATATCTTTACACAGCTCCATTGGGGTATCATAGTTTCCAGCTTCCAGCGTCTCCTTCACTGTACCAAAATCCATTGGAGTGTCTATAATTTCTCTGTAGTCCTAGGGTGAAAATAAAGAGAGAGAAATGAAAAAGATAATGCTGGAAATTTTTAGTTAGGCAAGGTCAAGTCTTCAACTTTGCCCTAAAGACTTTGAATGCCTCAACCCCAGGACAGTATTTAGTATTTCTAGAGCTGAAACTTGAGTAAGTTCAGACTCACTGCTGCTGCCTCACCCAGATGCACACAAATCTCAGCTTGCATTTAAAAAATAAAAGGCAGGGCAGGGTAACACCTTGAGGACTAACTTTAACTAACCAACCTGAGGATTTCTGTACACATGTGGGGATGCTGCTCTGACACTGTAATTACAGCGTAGAACAGACTTGAGTCCGTCACGGCATATGCTTTAGTTCAGGGGTTTTCAAACTTTAAATACGTTTTTTCTAATAGCTTTTAGCAACTTTTTTTAATACCCTCGGCGGCCACATACAGAGCTGGAGGGGAGGGGCAGGGGGAGCGCAGTGGTGCACAGCCGGACATGCAGCGCAGTCTCTCACCCCAACCCAGTCGCTCACCCCATAGTATACAGGTAGTTAGAGCTAGGAATTTAGAAAAGAAGTCACAAGCCTCCTTTTAGAGATGCTGTCTCGATGAGAAAGAGCATACAGTTCATATTTAAGGACAAAACAGTTTTCTACAGTTCTAGACAGACTGCAGAATACAGCCAACAGCTTCAAGAGCTCAGATGTAGACAAGTCTTGGTACAAATGCTATATTAGTAAAAAGGGAAATGATTAGATGACTAAATACTTATAATTTATAAAGGACCACATACAGGATATTGATCCAAATCAACAGGTTGTCTAAAAGGCTCAGAATCTTCACACTGGAAAACTAAATTCACTAGTTCCATACATTGTTTCTTCCAACTATTTTCATCATAGTTGACTTTTATATTTTTTCTTCTCTTCAAAGCCCGTCCCTTAAAAGAAAACAGATTATGCTGCCGTCTTATAAAAAAAACAACTTATAAAAATAATTTCAGTCATATTTTTAAATACATTTTTAATAATGCATAAACTACAAGGAAATCATTTTAGATCTGCAAAACATGCAACACTGTCTACCTTTCTATTACTAAGTTAGGCAAAAGTTGAATAATGTTCTCCCCTACAATTTCCCTTTGTTACTTGATGCTGTAGGCAAGCCATGATCTTATGTATATGACAGTCTGTGCAAAGATGCTGTTTTCCTGTGAATTACTTTGTAAGAGCTCACTCTGACCACTGGGTAAAAATCAATCCTATTTTCCTTGTTATTTCTTGGTAATTCTAATGGCTTACATTAAGTTATGTCTTAAGTATGCTGCAATGAACAATACAGGTATCAATAGTCCAGCTTCATTACTTAATTGAAGAATTACACATTGTAGCTGAAGAAGTGTTCAAAAGACTGGAATCCAATTATTTGCAATTACCATCAAGAAAGTTGAGACACATTACATTACAAAAAACTTAGCATTGCTCTGCTACTTCATTACTCTTTCTGCTAACTACAGCTTTCATTTTTAACTTTTCTTTTCCTCATAGCACTGTGTTTAATATTAAACGTAGGACAAGCCAACTCACTTTTCTTCTTCTGTATGAAGTCCTTGGAAGACATTTCTCGTCCTATAAAACAGACCAGACAACTTTGAAAACCACTAACAAAATTAAATAAACAGTAACTGCTCAAAAGCAGCATATGCCATTAAACTTATATTATATTAAAATGTACATACAATACTACTGTAATGGGCATTACAGAAAATTTAACAAGTCGTGACAGGACAAAAAGGAAACACGAAAGGAAATAATGCTACCTTCAATGGGCCCTCAGATTAAGTGATTTAATTAAGATCCTAAATTTATACCACTTCAAGCATTCTTGCCTCCAGCTCCTTTTTCCGAACATGAATGGGAGAATAAGACTAGGCTCCACAATGCTACGCTTCCTAAAATAAAGGCTTACACCAAGGCTTCAGCAGAGGGACACTTTCATTTCTGGAATATCTTGTAAAATGCTTTTATATAGAAGGGTGCCTTATTACATAATCCAGAGCTCAATATAACTAAGGCCTGGTTTAAATTGCAATTTTGCAATTTTCATGACAATCAGGTAACTTAGCGTTTTTCATGAAAAATGCTATTTGCAACAAAATGTCACAGTACGGCTACTTGCTGGAGAGTTCCCCAGCAAGTGGCCATGTAATGGAGTTTTTTTGCAATAAGATGGCTGCTGCAGGCTGGGGAAAGCATTCCCCAGGCAGCAGCAAAAGCCTAGCAGTCCAGGAATGGGGGGGTAAAGGATTGCAAAAGGGACAAGGGGAGGAGAGACATTGAAGATGGGTAGGGGATGGGCTGTTTGCTCCTCTGGGCAGGAAAAGGAAAGGAACAGCTATTTCCCTACCCAGTGTCAGGGCCATTTGCCAAGGTAGATCTCAGGTGCCCAACAACCCCAGTGACCCAGTTTTCCCTCGTGGAGGAGCAAAAAGCTCCTCCCTCTCCCCATCCCCAAGCTCTTTCTTTCCCGTACCTTTTATGACCTCTTCTCCCCTCCCCTGGGCCACTACGATTTTGCTGCTGGCTAGGTAATGCTTTCAGGAAACAGGAACAATCAGGGAGTGTGGGGCACCACAATCTGGGTGTGAAGACAGTGGCCCCTGCCATGATCAGGCCACAATATTAGTGAGCTTGGCTCTCAATTTAAACTAGGCCCTGAATATGACCAACTACAAAGATTGAAAGCTAGAGAGCTTCTAAAGTCAGCACAGGGAAAACAAAGAACCTTAGAGCTTTTCAAATTCTGCTAAGACAACTTAAGAGCCATAATTCTGCCAGTGGTAATGTCTGATAAGTGTTTTTTATGGTTTTAAATCTCAGAGTCACTTATGGATTCAATTTAAATTTGCCATGGCCTAAGCCCTCAAAACAACACACGTGCTTTTCAGTATTTTGCTGAAGTTCTCTTTAGAGATCACTGTTTGAAACAGACCATTTGGCAAAAGTAATGTTATTTATGTCGGAGTGAATATTACTGACATAGGAGATAGTGCTCCACATGTGCTACTATATATGCCTATTAATACCCCCTTACTTTAAAAATCAATGCACTATTTTCTTCTATTCTCAGACACCTGAGCTGCATATTTTCACAATGCATAATCTAATCCTAATGCAATGGATTTCAAATCATGATCAGTTTTCTTGTTTGGCTCAGAGCAAAAGTGTTAATGTAAATATGCTAAGCAACTGTGTAACTATACAATTCTAGCCACATTTTTACTACTTGCTTTTACACCACTGTATAAATACAGAGCACCTACACCATTTTTTTCACAAAAGAAAAAAAAAGTATCCCCAAATTCAAAACAATTCAACTTGTGTAATGAATAAATTATTATGGGCATAAGTAGTGTATTTTAAATAATACTACACACACCACGACAGAAGGAATTATACACCAAACAATGTCGTGATTACTGGCAAAATGTATATTCAACAAGAAAAGTTTATGTAAATTTAACACAGTAAATGAAAAATTAATATTTGATTTCATCCTACCACACCTCTTAACTTCCTCAAATTGTACGTTGATTTGGATGAGAGCTCAGACTATTATCTAACTTATATTCAGATACAGAGCTACATACAAGTATAGTATGTCTATGCACTGTTCAATTATAGCGTATTGAGTACTTTAAATTTTAAAACCATTCTTACCATTAACAATAAATAGCTATACTCCCCATCACTGTTAAAAAGCTTTTTTTCAATCATTTATTAAAAAAACCCCAAAAAACCAGCAACATAAGTTTGTTACCAGATCATCATCAAGACAGTCTTGTTCATCTTCTGTTACACTATGGAGTTCAAAAATATCTGTACAATCTTCATCACTGTAAAACAAGAAGAATGTGAAAAAATGTAGCTGACACTTCCTAGACTGATCTGGATGAACTAGCACAGCTTAATGTTGGTTTCTTCAGAATGTGAAGAACAGCACTATCCCAACTGGACCAGTTCAAACATGATGCTGAAATAGGGAAATTCTATGTATGTGCTCGATGTCAAAGAAATAAACTACCTCTAAATAGCTAATAAATTATATTCAGGGTGAAGATAGGGTGGAACAAAAAACAGATAGCAGATCAGACATTTTTGGGAATAGAGACTTTTCCACAACTTGAGCATCAATAAATGGTGATTAGACAGGAGTGCTAAACATGTCCTAATACAGAACTAGCTTTTAAAAAAGGCTTAATGTGTTAAAGTTGCTCAACAGTTCAGAAAGTGGTTCAGATTTAGAAGAGTTTCTAAAGACTTCATCTATTCTTTGCAGCAAACTAAAGAGCAAGATTTTAATTTAAGTGATATTCAAGTACAATATCTTCCTTAGGTAATAACATGCGTTGAGCTACTATTTAGAGTAAAATACTGCTTACTTGATGAACTTTAAGAGCTGTGTAGTGATCTTCTTAGCAGCTCTAGTAATAGCACTTCCAGGTTCATTGAAGGTCCTGGCATTACTTTCAATATACCTCACTTCCCAAACCAACGCAGAGATTCTCCTTTAAAGTATAAAACACAGTGAACTTTTAATGTTAAAATGAAGGGGTGAAATAAACAACAAAGTAAATTGCTGCTTGTTACAACTCATTCACTGAAGCTCCCAACTTAAGCAGATGAAACCCCTGTTAAAATTACCCAATTAAAATTGGACTTACAAGAAAGGAGAAGATATTCTAAATTAAACCAAGAAGTGACCAGTAGTTCCTTGTACTCGTTCCTATTTTTCGTTTTGATAATACATATAATTGAACATATTCTTGGCAGAACTACATGTTTTCCACAATCATCTATCTGCCACACTTAAGTACTGTAATAACAGTCTTCCACGTTTGAACCATTTTATAAACATACAAGCAAGGACCAGTTTAACGAGTTAATTAAAAAATGCAAATTCAGATGAAATTACATTAAAATTAAAACAAAACTTGTCAACAAATATTTTTATGCTCCAGCCTCCACGGGCTAGTCATCAAATCACTTCGAGGCAATATCCACAACATTCGGGTGGGGGGGGTGTCCCCCCCACTATTATGTAAAAATATGAGATAAATCAGCATAGGCTTTTAATACCACAAGATTTGAAAATCTAACTTGTACTAAGTTCATCTGATGAAGTGCTTTCAGGTTCACAAAAGCTTATGCTACATATCTTATGATTTAGTTAAGTCTACAAAGTGCAAATCTACCCAGCTGTCTGCCTTATATCATGCATTTCAGGGCTCAGATTCCAGCCCAGAGGCCATACCTGTACTGTGAAGCCATGTGTTCTAGCCTGCAGGGATCCTGATGGGTCCAAAAACGTGGCAGTGGGGGAGCAATGGCAGCTAACTGCTGCTTACTTGCTGTCAAATTTCTGGACTGAGGCAGGGAGCCCTGCAGGTTGGATAGTACAGCCCTATGCACTACTACACTGAGCATATGGCGCCAACTAACGTGACACATGACCGATCAGGGCCAAGTAGAGGTGGTGCAGGGCCAAACAGAGGCAGTACAGGGCCCCATCCAGCCTGCAGATTGGCCCTGCATCACTTATCTGGCCCATGGGGCCAAAAGATTGAGCAGCCTGATCTATTTCATTCTTCACACAGGGACATACCCTGGATACAAACAGGCATTCATTTCTAGTGCTGCATATTTCTGAGAAATTTCTGCTGCTAGTAACCTTTCCAAGAGAGGAAACAGTGCAGGTGTTCAGCTAGCAACCTGCTCCTCATGCCTCCCCTCAGTTAGGAGTAATCCTTGTCTGGAAAAGGCATGGGGAGCAGTGGTTATGCAACTCTTCATATTCCTGGGCTGGTGGGGGAGAGGAGGAGGGCAGAGAGGACAGATGCCCTATGCTTCCCCAGACAGGGAGCAGGCAGTGAGCAGTTGCTCCTCTGCTCTGCTCCCAGTCTCACAAACAAGTCAAGTAGCAAGGAGTATACAGGCCCTCATTTCTGCAAGACAAAATCTCTTTCAGGGGAGATCTAGATGTCAACCTGGAAGATCTTTCTTTCAGAGGTGACATATTTCCTCTGGGAGGAACTGAATGCTCACTTATATGCTCCTAGTTTTTACCAGTACAGCAGTGATTCTTTTGATAGAAATGTAACATCTCTGTGTGTAACCCACATCTAAATCTGTAGCCCAACAGGATCGTTACAATGAACCACAGTGTAGCAATGGCTTCCACTGTTTATCATTTTGCTCCACAGACAGGTAGATTTCTAAGCCAAAAGAATGATTTACTAATCTCAAGCAAAGGGAGGATTAATAAAAATCTCACTGCCTGCATATCTGCTTACATGGTGAAATCTTCAAATTTATTTCTAGTTTAATATTTCTTTAACTTTCAGAACTAGTGGCAGTCAGCTTATTCCAATCCACTTGTCTACAGGAGAATATTAAAATCATTTAACCATCCAAGTAAAAATGCATTTGGGAAAAAAAGCTCAACTATTTTTCTAAAATACTAACCGCTTTTTAGAAAAGCACTAATATGCATCAATGCCTTAAAATTCATGCTCACAGTTCATTCACACTCATTGGCATATTGCTATTCACAGTGTCTATAAATAGAAAAATTTTCCCTACTGGAGCCTTTTCCAAAAAGGCTAGATTTTAGTAACATTATGGAAACGTAATAAAAATTATGTTCTCTCTCCTTCTTTATTGCTAGCTTACACTAACCTGTAAAACCGGTTGATTAGTCTTGTCCGAATAGTGTTAAGGTCCGTTGGATAAGCTATCACTGTACAATACTTAGGATATGTACAAAGGTCAACTGGACCAGCAAATGGTGCTGAAATGTCTGTCAGGAAATAATATTTCAGTTAGCTTAGTTGGGTTAAATTGAAGGCCTACAGAAGCATGGATCTTCAATACAAAACATTTAGTCACTGTCACTGTAATTTTGACAACTATGTCTTGACATATTAAGCCTATTTCAGATTACAGAAATTATGCACGTAACTACAGTACTTTGCCTGAAATATATTTAAAATAATTGACATTTAATCTCAGACTGCTTACTGCTTCATTTCTATGAGAAAATGACTCATTTTCTGTGTTCTCACCAAGTGTCAGAAGCTGATCAATACCACCAATTATCCGTTCAGATGCTTCATCTCGAGATTTCTTTCCCCATTCACCTTCTTGAGGTTTGTACAGTAGCTTCTCCATTTCTCCAGAAGTTACAGAAACACTAGCCCCTAATTCTTCAGGTTGATCAACTAAAGTTTAAAGGGAAATTGGGATGGGGTGGGGGGAAGAGGGAAAGAAGAATAAAAATACTTTAATAAATTATGTGCTTTCTAAATTTCTAATAATGTAAAATCTTGTCTTATACCAGCAGAAGAGAGTTTGATGCCAGGGTCGTTCAGAAGCAAGCTGCTTTGCTGAGTTTTTAGAGTGTCCTACCCTTTCAGAGACCTGAGGAAGAATGCCTTGCATCTGAAAGCCTGTTCAACTTTATCTCAACTACATAGTTGGGACGGTAAGATATCACCCTAAGAAATCCTTGTGCCTCTCACATAATTTCAGGTCCATCATAGCTACAACATTACTCTTACACTACCTATCCTCTCATGCAGGAACTACGATGGTATCGTAGTTTCTTTTGCTTCCCCCCTTCAACTTACTTTTCCTCAAAAGCAGCTTTAATGGAAATCACCAGACTTTTACCTATCAATTGTCCTTACATTAAAAAAAAAAAAAAAAAAGGTCTAGAATAAAAATCCTATGTAGTCAGGGAACGCAGTAACAGGTATCATGCAAGATCCTAGAAAGATATAGTTAAGAAAATAAATGCCAGCTTTAACATCTGCAAAAAGATTTGGGCAACTGAATTAATATTTTGAATGAATTTTCACTTACCATTATCAGAAATTGGTTCCATGTCCCACGGACTAAGCTTTTCAATTTCGCCATTGTCCCATCTGTTTGATCAATAAATTAAGTTTTAAAAAATTAGAACTATGAATGTTGAAATGCTTCCCTTCTAACAAATTTAAGGGGTTTAATCCATCAAAGCTGATTTTAGGCATTAATAAAATTTGTTGTACAAATATACACAGGTATGAAGAAGAGCGGAAGGCATGACCTGAAAGTCAAAGCTATAGCAAACAATGTTTGCTTTTTTAATAGCTTTAAATTATAATAGCCTTCCTAGCCTTGGCAACACTACATGAACCATCTACAAAATCTTTGGAAATAAGAAAGAAAGATGTCTTTTCCATTCTCCAAGTTTAAGAACATGTAAAATAATAGTAAGCTAAAAACCCATTCGTGGATATGAAGCACATGTCAAAGAGCAAGGTACAAGGCAATAAATAGTACGAGAGAATAAGAATATGTGCATATTCTTACTAGACTGAATGGCACTAAGGGGGAAGACTGTTTTTGGAAAACAGGATCCATTGACCATTTTGGAGGATGACAGATGATGAAATGGGCTATATGACAGATTACAATGACTGTTGTGGTGACAGTGTGAAGCATGTCATGACAAAAACGGGAAAAGGAAAAATAAAATGAAAAGAATGAGAGGTAGATAAGGAAGCAACAGCAAAGATGAAGCTGTGGCAGTCTGAGAGCATAATATTAAAAGTGAATGCCTAAACATAGTAAGTAACATTTATACAAATCCTAGTAGATTTTTGCAAGCTTTTATCAGTAGTGAAATAGTTAATAAACCTGACTTAAATTAGCTAAAGCACCAAGTGGTGGTAAAGCTTCTGTTAGATGAATAGGACAACTTACACCTCTCAGAATTATTTTGAACTGTTTATAGACTTTGGAAAATATCACTGTTTTGTCTGCATGCTGTTTGCTATTCAAAAACATGGCAATCTTAGAACTAGACACTTAGGGCATGTCTACACCAAGCATTTGTGCCAATTTTATTCCTGAGGTTTAGAAACCACCAATGCAGATGTTAGTTGCACCACTGTTTTGATGGTGAAGACAAGGAAGACTGTGACCCAGCTTGATTCAGTGTATGTGCTTTATATATCTGAATTACGCCAATTCATTTATATTGGTTTTTAAAACAATGTATTTAAATTGGTTATAAAACTGATTTTTTAGTACAGCCCTTATACTGAAAGCTAAAGCACCGTCTTCTCATACAACTTTCACCTGCTTTAATATCAAGGTGACAGATATGGAGCTGCTCCATGATAATTTATGAATACTGTATGATGGCCCAGTTACTGGGATGGTGTTTAGTGTATGAATATATTGATTTACCTCAACAGGGGTCTGTCTGGATACAGGTAAAGAATGGCTCAAGGTAGACACCTATCAGCAAGCAATTAAGAGGTGTTAAGAAGTAATGTCCAAACTATTAGCTCTCATGACTGTCTCTGGCCAGCCTAGGAAACTGGTTTAACCAGGAATGACTGAGACCCTGCAAACACAGGAGAACAGATTTTAAAAGAAACACTCTCTCAAGGGGAAATAACTAAACTTGATACAAGAGCCTCCTGCGTTTTCTGAATAAGTTAGACCTGCGTAAGTTCTCCAGTCTGGGATGGCAAAACTTTAAAACAATCTCCTAGCAAGTATGTTCTTCCTAAAGTCCTCTCTTTCTGAAGCTAAATAAACAATGTTTGTACTTTAATAAGAGAGTGGCCAGACTCCAGGAAGAAAGAGCAATAAGTGCCGAAACTCCATTGACCCTGCAACATAACACATACAGGAGTACGGTAACTCAAGTCCTGGGCTAAGAACTATAAAATTTCCATCCTGGGACAGGTAAGTGCATGACACCTAATACTAGGAAAAGGGTTAATTCACTCAGAGACCATAAAGACCAAACTGCAGTTAAATTTACTTAAAAATGGATGCACAGCTAAGCTGGTATAAAACAGGTGTAAAATGGGTTTTTCAAGTGTCCATACATAGGGGTTTGTGCCAATTTAAATAGGTTTTTTAAAAGTGTTTCATTAAAGCTGTGGAAAGACTCTTGTGTAGACAAGACCAAAGTTTCCAGAATACATGATCACTTCTAAAGGATTACTGATTGGCCAAATCTTCATGAAAAGGACACTGGTGGTCTACATTTATACCCATCATTTACATTAGTGAATTTCTCGATTGCTATTAGCCCCTGCAAATGGGTGCCAGTTCAGAGTAGGGGAATGGGGGTGCACATTGCAGGAAAACAGATTTGCCAGTGCCTGTTAAGAAATGTAGGTGACTACAGTTCTATGGAGCCCATGAATACTTGTGAACCTTGCATCACACGCTGACATTGTTTACAGGTTGAAGTATACCCATCTGTCAAATTATGTTGCAGGGTCTAATATTTGAGAGCTAAATATCATGACACTAGGAGCAATTAATTTGTCTTTTAGTCACAAAACAAGAAAAGTAGTTTGTGAACAGAGCTAGGGACAAAATCACTGCATGTCTCTTCAGTCTGACATTAACCATGCCTTAAGCAGCATATTCTTTGCTGACAGCAGGAACGGCAGCTGCAACAGAAGAGGAGTTGAGACAAATTTAGAGGAGCTTCAGTAGCATGCGAATAGTAAAATAAATAAATAGAACAGCAATGCTGACAGAGCAGGACATTCCTGGGATTTTTAGAAGTACAGATTTTTCAAGAGTTGACAAATGGTTTTTATATGCAGCACATGGGTTTGCCTAGCTAACTAGACTGAACGAAGCTTAATAAATCATAAGTGCCCTAAGCCTTTGCCTGTAATAAGCTGGCACATATATTAAAGATTTAACATGGCTGCAGCATGCAGGGCAAAGGGGAATGTGGGAAATGAAGGCTGACAGCTGTAGACTCTTCTCATACGCCGCAAATGTCACTATGAAGGGGCCAAAAATAAACCAAAAAAAGCCCCATACACGCTTGTTTCCCAAGAACTAAAACTGTTACAATGATAAAAGAACTTGAGCAACCAGTATAGATACCTGTTTTGCAACTTAAATTATAAAGAAAGATTAAAATTAAAAACTTTGAGATGTGTTTTAGTTATAACACTATTTATTTTCATACCTTGCACTTGATGAGTACATATGAATTTAAATGTCTGAGCATGTCATTCATATTCTGAATTGATCTGAGTCATCACCATATAGTAAACCAGTACAATTTAAAACAGAACTGACACAAAAATAGAACAATTCAGTAAGTCTTGATACAAATCTACAGATACTGAAAATGCTCTACTCTGTTTAGTTTGCACTACTGGAAGGTTTTTGTTTTTTGTTTAAATAAAAGTATCTTAATTAACTGCTCTATATACAAAAGATTCAGTAACCTAGTAATCTATGAGAATTATTATAGAAAGCACACATTTCTCTTCCATGAATATGGAATATAATTTCTTTTTAGCACAGTGAAAAGTGTACTGTATTATTAATTTCAAATGAAATGCACTCTCAGTCCTTGAAACTGAAAACAAAAAACTTCAGCAATAACAATCTTTGAATAAATTAAATATTCTTATATGTACAGACTATCTATAAAAGCCATGATCGGTATCTTGGAAATAAAAATGTTAAAAAGCCTCTGTACTTACTTAACACTGTAACACTGGAAGTGACTATCTGGATACTGTGGCTGGTAAGGCTCTTGCCCCAACACAGTTCCAAACCACCATGCATCATCAATAATGGATCGGAATCTATCAGCTACAAGAGAATAAACCAGTTTCTCACTCAGATGTGTTTTGTACAAGAGTAAAAAAAAAAATATAAAGCTTTATACTAACTAAAGTTTACGAGGATGGAATCGGGGGGGGGGGGGGGGGGGCGAAATAATTTTTTTTTTCTTTCGAGAGTAAAAAAA